CCTTGGAGTAGTCACGTTGATCCTTGTCGTCGAAAACATAGGAGAACGAAGGGGTAAGAAAGCAGCGAAGAAGCGCAACTGTGCGTGTATGAAAAGAGAATAAGCAGCGCTTACTTGGTATGCATCTGCTCGGATTTCACTGCACGATTCAACTTCATTTTGCACATTGGGTGAGCCTTCGAAGTGCGCCGCTGCTCATGGGTATCTCTGACATCCTGGCCACGCTAGTTGTGGCAGTCGTTTAGCTATCTTGGCCATGGTCATTGCCATTGATGACCGGTTGATTGCCTCCATCTAGGAGGTGCTCGTGTTTTTCTGAGGAAGTAGTGTTGTTGGGCGATCGGATTCTTAGTGTGAACGTACCTCCCATACTATAGCAGGAGATACGATTCCGTTCTGCCTGCCGTCGTCTTCGGCCCAGTGCTCGACACCGAGATGTCGTAGGTGCTAAGGCCTCTCGTCTCATTAGTATCGGGGGAAAGTAGTGAGAACGGATTGACCGTTGGACCAGGTAGGAGTAGAGGGGTGCGAGAAGAAAAGGGCAGGGAGTTGACAAGGCATACAAGAAAGGAAAGAGAGAGAGAAAGAGAGGGCTTACCGTTGAAGGACTGTCGGTGGGGGATGAACTGGTAGTCGGACTGCGGACCAACCTGCGCCAATTCGGCACGTACCATTTCCATGATCTGGCGGAAGATACATTCGATCTTGCTCATCCTACTGGTGGAAGTAGCCTCCCCATTCCTCTGCGCGCATAGCTGGGAAGCGAAGGAAATGCATCCCTCCACGTTCTGGCGAAAGATTCATGCAGATTTTGTTCATTCTATCGATGGTAGTAGCGTGAGAGCAGTCGCGGATTGAAGGCCTGCCTGTTGGCTGTGTGTTGTCCATACAAGCGAAGGAAGAAGCCTCCCGCCACTGCACAGCGTATATTGCAGAAATAGCAGCGCATATTTTCGTGATTTAGCGCAAGATTCATTTTCATTTTGCACATTTGGTGGGTAATGGAGTAGCTGTAGCTGCGCACGTCGTCATCATTGGCGTACCGGTTGCCATCATCGTCAAGAAAGTGATACCCGTCACCACGATCCCGATCCTACCTGACCACTGAGTTCATGCCCATCCCGACCGTCGCCTTGGCAAGGCTCTCCGAAATCATTTTCCACCCAACAGGGGGTGATCCTCGTTGCGATTCTCGTATGAGAGACCTCGCTTCGATCATGGTGCTGGTCAATATGCTTATCAGACCGTTGATTGTGCACCCTCCATCGTAACTGCACTAAAGAGAGAGAGATAGTCAGAGCGAGAGGGATACTTACCTGGCCGGGGCGTATCTGTGATCTAGGCCACAGATGGTGGTTTCGGCTTCTTCCGTCTGTCACTGTTTTCTGCTGTGCTTTTTACTGCAACATTCTCGCGCAATCTGGCTGTTGCGCTTCCACCACTAGTGCACTGTATCTTGACTGCCGATATGCATTGTGTTGCTGACCACCTTGATCGTGGGTGCTGGTCCTAGTAAGAATTTTGTGGCCATTAAATTCGATGTAATTATCCATGTTTTTAGTGAAGATTCATCTACATTTTTGATGGGTGGTGGAGCCAGGCCACACTTGTCATGAGTCGAAGCAGCTGCAGTTTGGTGCATCAGGCAGGTTACTATGTATCTCTTCCTGTTTCTGTTGAGAGGCCTCCTCATTGGGATTTACTGTTGTGTCGTACAGCCTGCTGCTACAGGGGGCTCAGTGAAGCCTAGCCTGTGCTTTTGTAACTCGGCCTGTGTCTCTGAGACCCAACCTGATTAGTTTGAGTATTTGCTTGTCTTTTCATGAGCCATTGTAGCAACGGACGAGGGTAAGGACACATACCTTGGCCTTGGCAATGCTCGGCGAGGTCTGCATGGTCTATATGTACTTCGATTACGGCTGCTGTTGTTAGCAGGTGGCTTTGTCTGTCAGAATAGTTGTGTGATCATGGTTATCAGTAAACATTTGAGTTCGTTACCTTGGGTCTCCATCCGTGCGACATCTGTGTATTCATTTTTGATTTTTCTTCATACGCACAGTTGTTTCGGAAGTATGGTGATTTCATAGTTCATACTATGCAGTGAGCAGGCGCCGCTGGTGTATTCTATCGAGTGCTGCTGAATTTGGCGGTTGTGTACAGTTGTTGGGCACCGCTGTGTGCCGCTGTGTTCCACCGTAGGTTGCAGCTACGGTTGTTGCATTTCAGCATTGCCTACTTTTGTGGTGGCTTGCTACTGCGCACGCTTGCTGCGTTTCGACTAAGCCTTTTCCCTTTAGTTGCGCACGGCGCTGTATACAGTTGACTTTAGATTGCACCGTTGCTAGACACTTTGCCTCACTCCGCTTGTGGGCTACTATACAATACAACATGCCGGTGATTGTTGCGGATTTTCGGCTGTTATACTGATACCATTACGACTGTTGTGTATTCGTTGTGCCACTACACTGCGTTTCACTGTGTGTTGTTGCATTTCGAATAGACTTCGAAGCTGCGCTGCAATTGAATACGGTTTTTCTAGGTTGTGAAGCAGCAATCAGATCAGAGAGAGGGATACCGCACCTGGGAGGAGCGATCGGGTTTGGTACAAAGGGGGCTATTGCTACATTTTGGAGGGTCATCGGGGGAGTGTTATTCCACATAGTGGTCATGAGTTGACTGAATTCGCTGCGCTATTGGCTGCCATTGCGGGGCCCTCAGGTGATTCAAGATTTCAAGGCCCTCTTCTACGAGTTGAGTTGTCCCTCCTTCTGCCCTTCTTACTCTAGGTCTAGTCTGAGGTTACGAGAGGAAGGCGGCAGGCGGGATTGCAACCCATAGGACCGCAAAAAGACCTCGTGGGAGGTCCACCCACCGATTGCGTGAGCTCTGCCGGAGCCCAGGCGGGGTTCTGGAGGCAGGGAACACTCAGGTATAAGTTCATCTTACACGTGTGATCCCTTCCCTTAAACTGTATTACCCTTTGTTATTGCGTGCCTATAAGTATGACTGAGAAAGCTAATTGCTTTTGTTTGATTTTGAAGTCAGGACATGATCTGAAAGGTAAAATTGACAAGTATGTATGATAAGCTCAGATTATCTGTGCGAATTCAGACAAAATGAATGGGGGAAGGCGGTGTCGGGACCGGTGGGTGCCGAGATAAGCCTGGTCGTTGAAGAGGTGGTATACCGCGGAATTGTGCACGACAAAGAAAACCGGAGGCAAGAAGGGTAAGAGGACTAAAGGCATTAGCACTAAACCTCGGGGATTTAGAAGTTGCCTCGGGTCGCCGGAGCCGCTGGACCAAGAAAAGGCTAGCGGGACGGCGAGCGGCAAGGGACCGCAAAAGGTTGGCAAAAACAGCACTTCCCTCGAAAAGGAGAAGGACCGTTGGGGAAAGTTGTGTCATAGGTTGCATGCCGCAGGGAGAAAAAAATTGAAAAGAAAATAATAAGGTGTCGGCGTGTGAGGATGTAGCCCCGGCCAAGAGGGCCACCGGGATGCGACGTCGAGAAGGCCAAGGAGCCATGGGCCAAGCAAAGAGCCACGACCGGAGAGATTGGCATACGGAATGTGAGAAAGACAAAGGGAATGAGGCCACCAAGGGGGGAAAATGTCAAAGGAACCCGGGGACCACCGACGGGACAAAGTGTCGGGAACCACCAGGAGAAAGACAAAGTGTCTTTCAAACAGTGGGCCCTCATATTCCGATTTTTGCCCGGAGGCCTATTTTTCACATGGAGTCTCTTTTGACTCCACTTTCTTGCGGGAGGCCAATCCGAGATTTTTTGGATCGCTCCCATGCCTCCCATCACATGTTTCTTTGTTTTTCTTTTCCTTTTTGCTCTCTCCGTTTGTCCCCACTAGTGCTTGCACTAGTGGTGCTAATATTTTTTGTCGTCAAGATCTTTGATCAAGACGGTGCGTCTTGCTTTAATTATTTGCTCCTCGCGTCGCGCCACAATTTCCCTTGGGACGTCACAAGTCCCCGCCGCTTGTCCCATGCTAGTCCCCGACACTAGTCCCGCTAGTGGTCCCGCCGGTACTTGTCCCGCCCGTGGTCCTGCCGTTACTTGTCCCGCCGGTGGTCCCCGTCATTGTCCTGCCTGTGGTCCTCGACACTTTGTTCCGCCGGTAGTTCCCGACACTTTGTCCCATAGGTGGCCCCCATGTTGGGCCCTTATTCTCTAGCTTCCCACGACCTCCGGGACCGTCCATCTCTCGACTTCCTCATTCCTTTGTCGCAGCCGTGCCGTTTTTGCTGGTTCAACGGCCCCTCGGCCTTAGTCTTGTTGAATTCCCACGGCCCTCCTGGCCTCATACTATGTTCTATGTGCCCCCGTTCTCGTGCTCACTTGCTTGTCGTTGCTGGTTTTTTCTTCCTGCGGTTTTCACCCCAGGGCATCACTCCCTCCTGCGGCCTAATCCTTTGTCTTTTCTCTCTCTTTCCTCCTTACTCCAGATTTCTCTGTCATGCACAATCAAGCTATATACTGTCACTCGAGTGACGGGATGTTATTCGGGACCCACCAGTCTCGACACCGTCGAGGTAGCCAACTCTTCACCCACGGACTCATCTTCGGACCCCCGTGTGATGCGGTTGCTTGACGAGTTCGCCGACATCTTCGAGTCACCTACCGGTGTGGTGCCGGATTGGCCGATCTCTCACGAGGTCATTCTTGAGGTCGGTGCTGTACCACCGAAAGGTTGCATTTATCGCATGAGCGAGGAGAAGCTTACGGTCCTCCCCACGCAACTCGATGACTTGTTGGACAAGGGCTGGATCCGCCCTAGTAGCTCCCCATATGGAGCACCAGTTCTCTTCGTACGGAAGAAGAACAATGATTTATGATTGAGCATCGACTACAGCAAGCTCAATGCGCAAACCGTCAAGAATGTGGGACCTCTTCCTCGTATCGACGATCTTCTTGAGCGATTGGGTGGCACAAAGTATTTTTCTAAGTTGGATTTGAAGTCGGGATATCGTCAGATTTCGATCCGACCGAACGATCGCTACAAATCCCCGTTCAAGACGCGGTACGGACATTTTGAGTGGGTGGTCATACCTTTTGGCCTCACCAACGCCCCGACGACCTTTCAAGTGGCAATGGCCAACGAGTTTCATGCAATGTTGGACCGGTTCGTGCTGGTCTACTTAGACGACATTCTCATCTATAGTCGGGCATTGGAGGATCATCTTGAGCACCTTCGACGAGTGTTGGAGACGCTCGGTCGCGCCAAGTACAAAGCCAACCGCGACAAGTGCGAATTTGTCCGGCAAGAGCTGGAATACTTAAGCCATTTCGTCACACCGGAGGGCATCAGTCCGTTGTCGGACGGGATTCAATCCATCCAAGAGTGGCCGGAGCCGCGGAACGTCACGGATGTCCGTTCATTCCTTGGCCTTGCCGGCTACTACCAACGTTTTATCAAGGGATACTCGAAGATCGCGACCCACTTGACCAAGCTTCAATGCGAGGATCGGTCGTTTGACTTCGGAAAGGATGCGCGAGAATCATTTTTGGCTCTCAAAGCTACGCTATTATCTGCGGAGGTCTTGCGCACATACGACCCACTATTGCCAACACGCGTCACTACGGATGCGTCCGGCTATAGCATTGGTGTCGTCCTCGAACAACACGATGGCGTGGACTCGCACCCAGTCGAGTACTTCAGCAAGAAAGTGCCCATCGTGCACTCCATTGATGATGCACGCAAGAAGGAGCTCCTAGCCTTCATCCACGCGCTCAAGTGGTGGCGGCACTTCCTCCATGGTCGAAGTAAAGTCCGATGGGTAACGGACAACAATCCGTTGGTCTTCTACAAGACCCGAGACACTGTCAATAGCACCATCGCCCGTTGGATGGTTTTCATCGACCAATTCGACTTCTTTCCCGATCACATTCCGGGGAAGTCTAACCGTTTTGCGAACGTCCAGATCATTGTACCACAGTCTATTCGAACTTCGAGATCGATGACGGCTTGTGGGACAGTTTCATCCGCGGCTACCAAGCCGACCCCGAGTTTTGTGAAAAGAACGCGAATTGCTCCTCTCCTACTCCAGTGCCTTCACTACCGGATCCAAGAGGGGTACTTGCTTGTCCACACGCGGGGGAAGGACCTTCTTTGCGTACCGAGTGACTCTCACTTGCGTACACGGCTTCTTGGCGAGTTCCACGGTGCTCCCGCCACCGCACATTTTGGAGTCAATCGAACGATTTGCCGACTTCGCGAGCGCTTTTGGTGGCCCGGCCTTCTCGGCGACGTCACACGCTATTGTGAGTCATGCGAGGTTTGCCGACGCTGCAAATCCCGCAACCATTGTCTGTACGGCGAGTTGCGACCATTACCGGTCCCCTTGCGCCGAAAGGAAGCGATTGCCGTGGACATTCCCCAAGCACAAGACCGGTCTGGATGGGATTCTCACGGTGATCGACCGACTCACCAAGTTCGCTATGTTTTTGCCATGCCGCTATCATGCCAAGGCACCGGAGTTGGCCGAAGTTCTTTACGCCAATTGGATTCGAACCAAGGGTTACCCCAAGGAAATCGTCTGCGACCTCGACACTCGGTTCATGTCCGATTTTTTGTTGGCGCTCATCAAACTATGGGGCTCATCTCTCAAGCCAAGTTCGACTCGCCACCCCCAAATTGATGGCCAAACGGAGAGGGCGCATCAGCCGCATAGGTTCTCCTTCGCACTCTCATCCGTCCCGACCAAAAGGATTGGGTTGAGCGGATGCCGGATGTCGAGTTGGCATACAACTCGTCCATCCACCCGGCTATCAGGATGTCGCCCTTCCAGTTCGAGCACGGCTCGCTGGTCACGTCTTTGTTGGACACAATCATTCCACGAATGGCCGAGAGCGACGACCATCTTATTTTCTTGCGTCGGATGCAAGAGCTACTTGTCAATGCATGTGACCAAATGGCTAAGACGCAGCAACGCATGAGCCAACAGGCCAATCGCCAGCGTCTTCCCTCTCCATTCCGCGCCGACGATCTTGTTTGGGTTTCCGCTGCAAAGTTCAGCCTCGAAGAAGATATCTCTCGCAAGCTCCTCCCGAAATGGATGGGGCTTTGGCTGATCGTGGCACCCGCTGGGGAGGCACCCGAAGGACCTTCCTTCATCATTCAGGTGCCCGCCCACTTGCCCGTCTACCCGGTCTTTCGTTGCTCCAAGTTGGCTCTTTACACGCCGGCAGACGATGACGATTTTCCCGCGTGACGATCGCAAGACCCACCCTCTGTGGACGGTTTTCAAGAGGTCGGCAACATCATCTCCCAGCGACGCTACCGCAACAGGTCGACCGAATACTTGGTACACTTTGCATACTGCACACACAAAGCCGACCGTTGGTTGACCCGTGCGGAACTCCAAGCAACAGCTCCAGATGTTCTCGCACGCTACGAACGAAAGATGCAAGGCAAGCCAGTATCTTCGGCTCCACGTCACACCCTCGTCCAGGTTCCACCTTCAGATCGTCAGCTTCGCCCTCGACCAGGCTTGACTTCACAAGGAGGGGGGGGTGTTACATGCTGCGCCTGCGACAGGCTGCACGGGCTATTTTCAGGCCCATGACGTTTTCAGCCTGAAAGCCTGAAAACAAGGGCCTACAGGCCCTGTGTCGTTTCAGCCTGAAAGCCTGAAAACAAGGGCCTACAGGCCCTGTGTCGTTTCAGCCTGAAAGCCTGAAAACAAGGGCC